ACAGGATAAAAAAAAAATGAATAAAAAATATTGTAAACTCACTAGTTTCCTAGCTCCGCTCAAAATCTAAAAATTTAGGAAAAACAGGAATTGTTACCCAAACCAATATTCGACAAAATCTATTTTATTTTTTTGTTGTAACTTAAAACGAATAACGTTAGATACAAAGTTCACCAAATGTATAATTAGGTAGGTAGTCGAGATATGCAATAAATAAACATCAACTAGTGTGCAGGTCAGTCAGATCACCGTCGGTCCGTGTAAAATACGTTCGGCCGTGGAGATTAACAAATAAAAGTTACCTCGGTGTTAAGTAACTTTGACCTATATTTTTTTTATAGTTACTTATCTGGCCGCAACCGATTTGGGCCCCCTGACTATTTTTATTTACATAATTATGCATAATTTTATATTATTTTTATTGTATACCTATTATATTAATATTGTTATAACAATTTCTATTTATTCTAGAAATCGTTTATTCTAGAGGAATATATCTTTAAGATTTATTGATAACTACTTATGTATTTTCAATAGATCTTAAAGCATTATGTAAATATCTTCTACCATAGGTTCTGTGTAAATTTATTTTTTTAGTTAAAATTATATAATAATTATGCTCCAAATAATTTATGCAAGCCTAAATTGTTTTATTTACCTATTTCACATATCTTATTGGCTGTCATATAGTAATTATATAGCAAATGTATGCTAACATAATATGCATAATACAATCTTATAATCATATTGTATGGTTTGTGTGTCAATTGTAGGTGCTTTTAAAGATAGCTTATAAATTAAAATGAGATTAAATATAAATACTGCAATGAACATATATTACAATAATTTGGAAAATTACACTGATATGTCGATTGCTGTTGAAACTGAGGATTTGCCTGAATGTACTAATTGTCAAATGCCTACTAAATCTGTAAATCGTACAAGGTCTTCTGATATAGACTTTTAATTAAATACAGGTAAGATACTTAAATTGTATTAAGTGTTTAATATGAATAAAAAATGTGTATAGCCATAAGACATTTTGTAAAACATGGCAGAGTGGCATACATTTTCATTGATCCTAATAATAATACCTACCTAAATTTAAAACTAATACCGAGGTGCGCAAATGATCACTTAACGTCGCTTAACATCTAATAAATCAATATTGAGGTAATAGTCAATTAAACATCATTTAATGGCCCATTATTCATTTATTAAATATTATTGAACCATTAGATTAATCATTTTTTCTTACAACATAGCATAATAATATTTTTGGTGGTGTATTTATAAAATGTATTAGATAGGTAAGGTTAAGTTTATCTATTACATTTTATAATTTATATTAAATTTTCACATAGGTATAGATTACACCTTGGAAGATGAGGCTGCAGAACATGTCTATTGAGATTATTACTAATGACTTTAGTGAAGGTTTTCTTCCAAAAATGGCTATTGTTTCTGGAATCAACATAGGTAAATTAATAGGTTACTTTAATCAAAAATATTAAGTTTATGAAGTAAATTATTGTTTTTATAAAATTGAATAAAACTTTTTTTGGCTAGTCCTAGTGTCCTACAAATTCTTTACTCCCACAACGATTTTTTGAAGGTACATTAAAAGATAATAGATCTTCATTGAAAAATAGATTTGACACCTAGGAAACGTTTATTGTATAATGTGACCAAGGATAAGCAAAGAAATTTTGTGTTGAGTCAACGTTATGCCAGTGCTTAGAAATGCATTCTAAAAGCTGAAAAAAAATTATCTATAGTAATTCCAAGCAACTGAACAAACTAAATTCATTTATATTGAATTTTATTGACTCACAAATACGTAAGTATGCAATCACAAAAACCTCCAGGTAGGCGTTTCAGTGTAGATGACAAAGTAGTTGCATTGTCATTATATAAGTAGAGTGGTAAAGCTTACAAAATGTTTTCTAAAGTATTCTCTCATCTATAGCGCAAGTGCATCATCTTTTAATTTATTCATGCACTAACCATATTAATCGTATATTAAGTAAAGGTGAACAACTAATAACAGAAGATCATATAAAATTGTCTGCAAATACTTATTTTCAAAAATACTCAAAGAAAAGGATTGCATGGCAGAGATAAAATGTTAATAAATAATTATGTATAATAACTAATTATTGTAAGCATATAGGTAATATGTATAATTATTAATTTTAAGAGGTGTATGCTCTGATACTGTATTTACAAAAAACACGACTGATTGTAGTGGCCCCTTATTTCTTAATTATTAAGTTGATTAAAAAAATATTGATATATTAAAAAATTTTAAAAATTAACTACTTGGCCTAGATACATATTTTTACCATCAAAATTGTTTTTATAATCAAATTTACAAAATGGCAATTTGGAATTTTTGAATAATTTTTATTTTTAGGATAAAAAATAAAAATAATTTTTTTTAACATTATTATTACCATCATTATATAATTATTATTATTTATTATTATTATTCAATAATATATAAGCTAATAATATTACACTATACATAACATTGATCAGGCATCTTCCACCACATGCGTTGGTGGTGTAATGGTCAGCATAGTTGCCTTCCAAGCAGTTGATCCGGGTTCGATTCCCGGCCATCGCAGATATTTTTTGCAGTTCAAAAAACCTTTTGCGTTTAGTTAATTTTTTAGCTTTTATTATACTTGTCTCTAAGCCAAGGGTCACAGGCGATGAACAATTTTTTAACGGCCCCCTTTTAAAAGAACTTAATATTTTGAAAAAGAAAAATATTATTGTATTGACAATGACAATTTGACATGTATAATTTATAAAACAGTAACAACAATATGTTGGTATTTGAAATCAGACGCTAAAGGCTGGATATAAGCCGTACCAGTTTAGTAAATATGACAATTTTAATGATCTTTTCCTGTTTTTTCTTTACATATAATTTATGCAAATGACAAAATGAAAATCGGTAAAGTTTATACTTATAAGGTTGGAAAGACTTATTCGTACAATATCAACCCGTGCAAGTGATGCAAATGCACAATAATATTGTTCACTGTTGTTATTGCTTTACAAATAATACAATGTACAGTAATATGTTGGTAAAATAATTATTAATTTTCAAAATAATTACTTTATAAAAAAAAGGCCAGTTAAAAATTTGTTCGCCTCCTGTGACCCATGACTTAGAGTCCTTAGAGACTAGTATAATATGAACTAAATAACTGCGAAAAGTTTTAAATAGCAAAAAAAATTACTGCGATGGCCGGGAATCGAACCCGGATCAACTGCTTGGAAGGCAACTATGCTGACCATTACACCACCATCGCATGTCCAAAGGTCGCTGTTGGTCTAGTACTAATATTCGGTGGCACATAATTTTCGGGAAAATTGTCGTCAGGAATAATTAAATTCAGGAAAATATTTGTCATGAATGCTTTTATGACAGGAACAAATATTATCTAGAAAATATTTTAGAGGAAAATTATGCTTAGGAAAATAATATACAAGAATTCAAAAATCAGGAAACTAATTACGTAGGAAAATACTACAAAGGAAAATATTACAAGGGAAAATAAAAATCATTAAAATATTAAGTCTGTCCACCAAATTCAGACTTCCTTATCGTTTTCAGCATGCTTAACTAAATATGAACGTATTAAAAAAAAATAAAATTGAAAGAGGTGCTCTATCGTGTGCAATTTCGAGCAAATTTGAACTTAAAATGACTATAGAAATAAACTGTGCTTATGTATGGTTTAGATTTTTTGGTAACTGAATAAACTACTTACGCGGAATCTTTTTTTAAATTTTTATTCCTTAGATATAAAAGTTGAACATTTTATAAATTTTTTTTTTATTAAATACAAAAGAATTATTAAATTTTAAATTTGATAAATGTTGTCAAAATTCGATCTTTAAATGCTTAAAAAAAAATTGTGCCCTTGTATTTTAAATTTATTTCAGCTGATATTGTAACAATGTATCAAGAGTTTTGTATTAATTTTTACACTTTTTGGCCCAACGGATAAAACTTTATTGATATTTATAGAAAAAAAAACTAAAAAAATTGAAAACTGAAAATGTCCGTCAACAGCTCAAAAAGAGTCAAAATATTTTCAAAATTGTATGGTGTATAGAAAATTCTAATATAAACATTCAGTGAAATTTTCATGTATCTACAGTTATTCGTTTTTGAATTACAACAAAATAAGGAAATCGCTACATGAGAAATCGAGTGAATATCCAATGTTGTAAAAATTTGAATGTTCAACGCTCATAAAAATTTAATTTGACTGTATTATAGACATTTTTTTTTGATAAAGTTAGATAATCTTATAAGGAATCTTGTATTACATTTTAAAACCTTAGATTTAAAAAGAAAAATATTTACGAATTCTTAACTCAAAATAATTAGCTAATTTTCGTGATTTTTCCATATTTTGTCAATTTTTGAACTTTAAATAAATTATTATAATTATTATTAAGTAGGTACATAATATATTATTATATTTGTAAAGTGTCCAAGGGAGGGGTTGAACCCCCCCCCCCACCCGTGATACATAATATTACATAATGTCATAATGATTAATACACAGCGCCGGCGGGAGGTTTTGCGGGGCCCGGGGCAGATTATTTTGATGGACCCTAGCCTAATGTAATGTAAAAAAAAAAATTTTCGCAAGTCCTATTACTTATAGGTACTTCAGTACTTGTATGAAATTTTTTTCAGTTTTACATAACTTACCTATACATATTTTTTTTCATGTACCTACTCAATTAAACATTGTATAAAACGTTCACTTGTAAATATATATTTATTTCCTAAAACAGTTAAAACATAAAGCTACAAATATTATTTTGCTTATACACCTAATTTATTGGATACATTTTTCATATAAAAATAAAATATGTACAAGTTAAATGTTCATGTGAACTGCACTAAAGTACACTAAATACAAGTTTTACACAAAAATTAAAAAAAAACTCAAGATTTTAAAATTTCAAAATTGTTTTTTTCTAGCTTTGGCTGCAGCAAAAATTGCAATCAGCTCACTAAAATCTAATGAGTCGGTAATTTGTTGTTCAATCGATAGAGTAGCTAAGCTTGTTACACTGTGATAAAGTACTCCTTAAATAGTTTTTAATTATTTTCAATTTGGAAAAACTCCTTTCCGCACCAGCTGATGTTACAGGAATTGAGAGTATTATTCGGAGTGCTATCGAAATATTTGGAAAAGAACCACAACATTTTTTTAGTACTGAAAGAGCTTGAAAAGCTGTCGTTTCTTCAGAAATTATAGTACAAAAAATAAGTAATTCTTCATACAGTTCATAACAATTTATGTCTTTTAATTCACCATCAGTTAGAACGTTTTGTAGATCATGGCAACATTTTCTTAACTCTTCTTTTTCCATGAATTTTATTTTGCTAATCCGATATAAAAAAACCAAAGTTATTATTAAACGATTCAAGCTGTGAAAATCTCATATTCATAGAAACGATAGCTTGATCAACAATAGTTAAAAAATAATCTTGATAAAAAATAGTTTCCTCATTTTTAGATGGTTCATCTTGAGTTTCATACGAAAACGTTTTTTTTTTTTATTTCGTATACGGATTTTTTTAAAATCAGCAGAAACTCCTATAGCCTCTGCCAAATCTTTAGCAGTTGTTTTTGCAGATTTAAATCCAGTATTTCTATAGTCATTTAAAAATGAGAGTAGCCCATTTAACATACTAGCTGAAATATCTAAATCCATGTTCGGGCTCTGAAGACTTTTGCTTATTGTATTGACTTCAACTAACACGTCGGTTTTTTTTTAATACCTAATTTATTTTTACTCTCACTCGTTTATTATATGAAAAACCCACAAGCTGCAACTGCAGACGGCCAGCCGAGACTTGTATTTTTAAATTGAAAAACAAAATTGTGGTCTTACAAATTATCAAATACCATATATGCAGGCGCGGGGCCCCAAAATGGCGGGGCCCTGGGCAGATGCCCCTTCTGCCCTGCCCTTCCGCCGGCGCTGTTAATACATCTAATCATGTAGCATAAAATACAAATGTATCAAGGAATTGCCTATACAGTACTCCTACTTCACTGATATTTCCCGGTTTTGAAATTCCTGTGTATTATTTTCAGGTATAAATATTTTCCTGATTTTTAAATTCCTATAAATTATTTTCCCGTTTTTTATTTTTCTGTGTTTTAAATTCCTGCGAAATATTTTCCTGGTTATTATTTTCCAACAAATTATTTTTCCTATATTTTACTTTCCCGTTTTTGTCATTCCTCTAAATAACTTTTCTGGATTTTAGAGCCCCTCTAATATTCTAATAATACCTACATTTTAAGAGCATAATAATTTATTGTCATATATTTTAAGCGAATATAAAATGGTTTTAAAATTCAATTTTGTATTATACATTAAATACAGTTTAACAGACATTGAATTAAAATTAAAATACATTTTTACCATTACATCTATATTAACCGATGTGGTGTGCGCACACCTGTACACCTAGGCACAAGCCACCACTAAATAATACATATAAATAAAGATTTCTATGTATTACCTATTAAACACTTGTGATAAACACGTCGACAGTAAAATGTAGCAAGTTAGTATTAAGAATAATATAACAATATGGTTTATAAATAATATTTGTATTCCCAATCATATTAATATTATAATTTTTTATTGTAAAAAAAAAATTTACAAAACAAAATAAATTGTAAATCCATGGGTCCAACAAGTTACGTATTATTAAAAAGTAACTCGTTATGTAACTTTGTTAAACTAAGTACCTAACTTCACTTGTTAGCTTAACTTTAACTTTTAACTCGTTAATGTCCATACTTGTATTTTTACTTAGGTTTAGTGGATAAATGTAAATGTATGTACCTATTGAACTGATATATTTATAATTTAAGAATATTTTATATTTCAATGGTGTTATGAAAATATAGAAATTAGGATTACTTCATGTTTTCACATCCAAATAATATGTTGTTTCCATCTTACACACGCACGACATACCAAATTGATGTTCGCCAGTTTCAATAATGTGTAGTCAGTTTTGATACTAGAATGAATTGATAATGTTATCAAATAATGATAACATTATTTGTGTTCTCTAGTTGGTTTTTTACGGTATATTTATTTTCTAGTAAGTTATGTGTATGTAAATTATTAATATTTAAAAGTGCTCACAATTCACTGAAAATTAAAATATCTTAAAAAACTAACGAGAGAACACCAGTGCCGTGCTAACTCTCATTGGTGCCCCAGGGTAATAATATTTGGCGCCCCCTATAAACACACATATTTAAACCTTTGCCGCCCTTTAAAATGTTACAGATTATGTTCTTACTTTAAAGTTTGATAACAGGTCAATTCACTTTTATATTAAAAGCACGCTATTGAAACTGGTGAACAAAAATTTGACATGTCGTACTTGTTTAAGACGGAAATGGCATATTATATGTGTACGACGTCCTCTCAAATAACTCATAATACTGTATTCTTGAAATTTTGCCATTTTAAAATTATTACAGAGTTAGCAAGTAATTCACAAGAGTTTGCAAGACGATTTTAAAAATATTAATGTTGGTTCCTCGGCTAAGATGGGATTTCAAAGTTTAATACCCGGCCTTTAAATGTCGACCCAGAAATTCCAAACCTATTTTAAAAGAGTTCCAACAGATATCAAGAGCTTATCTTCCCCCGAGTGAGTTTTAATCCTGCGCGTCATTTGTACCTTCTAGATCCTTTCGCTATATAAGTGAATAACTATATATGAACATTGAAATATAAAAAGCAGCTCATTTGAAAAAAATTCTTTTTCATGTTGTTTACAATGTAAATGTTATAGGCACAAGTTCTGCGTTTATCGTTATTCAGAATAATGTTAATACCTATCAAATTTATTAATATTAAGTACCTACCTACCTAATATTAGTAATAACTAATAACTAATGCTGACAGGTAATTGGCCCGGTTACGGAATCTTATATAATCAATTATAATGCACCCGTATGTATGAAATAAATATTTCTACGAAACCAATATGGCTTTTGAATAAATGGATTTTAAATTATTTCGTTTAGCGTTATTTTTCGTTCAATGAAATTCTATAAATTACGTTATGCGTTATGTTTTGTTTAATGATATTATATAATATATTTTGTTAATCGTAGTGTTTTGTTTTGGAGTATTTAATTATTTTTTATTATCGCTTTCCGTTATAATTACGTTTACAAATTTCAATCTTTTTTGTCAAATATAACGTTTTCAAACCTTCTATTAAAAAGTATTTTGGATAAAACGTCCTAGAAGGTTATACAATTTAGAGTGGTTAGCAAGTGGACTAAGTAATCACAAAGTTAACTAGAAAATTATATTTTGTAATTTATATACTGAATTAAAACACATTTTTACTTAGGTATATATTATAAGTTATAATTATTTATAACTATCTATTTTATATAATTATCTATTTTTAACAATGAACAAAATGTTAAAAATGAAAGAACTGTATTTTTGAGTTTTTATTTTATTAGATTCTATCTATATAAGCATTAAGCTGATATTAAAAGGTGAAATTCATTTAGTATGGATATGGAAAAACTGAAAAGACATTGTCTTAATTCTTATAATTATTTATTATTATTTAATATGTACCTACTATACATATATTATCACTATTATATGAAGATTTATATTAAATACTTATATATTATTTTAGTATTTATATTTTATACTCATCTGAGTTCATTGGATGAATTCTAAGAATGGACACAAAATCAGAAAAGAAATATCACACACTCAAAATATTTAATTACATATTTACTATTTTTAAAACTATTTTATATAAATTACAATTTACAATTTTTGTGCTATTGTATATGCAATATAATATACTCAATGCCCAATTCTATTATTATTGATCGACTGATTTTCCATTCACCCGAGTGGCTAAGCGTATGTGAGGCACAATGGGGCAAAGCCACGAATCACGACGCAATCTAGTGGAGACGCTGGGCAACAAATGTGTACTTCAACAGTGACCTACTACAGTAGATAGCGCACCGCTTATTGTACAGTGTACAACGTTCACACTGGGATCCGCTTTCGATGACTGTTTGGAATTGTTTGGAATCAACGTTCATATTATTAGTATTGCAGTTGGTTGGTTAGTATTGAAATATTTGAGGCATATAAACCTGTGTTGTGTTTTTGCCTATTTTCAGTTCAAAATAGTTTGTTTGATAGCGGATTGCGTTGCGCTCAGCCCAGCGTCAGGGCCACTTGTTATTTTGAAAATGTACGCCACCGGCACAACTGTCCTACGAAAAAGAACTAAGTATTGCACTTTTCCTGAGAAAGAATTTAATAATCCAATTATTGTTTTCAGGATCGTTATATCGTAGACGTTATTAATAATAAAATATGTGTGTAGTGTAGTTTTTTTTAGATTTTCAGACTTAACTAACGCCAAACGAACAAAAACAAGTATGAATATATAGGTAACAAGCAATAGTAGTTGCCTACTCAATATTCCTTTTATATTGACCCCTAAAATCCATTCAGCGTCATCTGGAAACTTGTGAGATTGCACTATATTGTTGTGATTTGGTTATTGGCTTTAATTTTAGTAATACAATTATGCTCTGTTCTTTAACCAATAATATTTTATTAAAGTTCATAATACAATACATATTTTTTATTAGGAAAACTGATTGACTGGAACGCATTCAACAACCGTGTATTTTTGGAAAGCATATATAACCATCCTATACCATACCTATAACCATCGGAAGATAGCACAGCATATTCCGATCCGTGAACGAGTGTGGTATCTAAAATCATATTTCTTGGGACCTTTGTCGATCAACTTCCTTTTGCATTCTTATAATTAATTTACTGTCTCTTTTTTCGACTTTTTTTGGTATTTTTCATAACAGTTAAGTGACCATGAATTCGTGAAAAGGTAGGTATAATACAATTATTTTTCGATTTTCACTTTAAGATTACTTTAAGTTATATGAATTTAAAAAATAATGATGACTGTATTACCTATTTTATAGTTAACTAGTTTACCTGATTACTTAGTGTGGTAAATTAATGTTATTAAATGGCAAATTTAAGATTTTAAATAGTTAAGATAGGCGCCTATATGTTTTAATAGGTTCAAAATTGATTTCTCTCAATAAAAGTCCAGGAGCATCACTGACATGAAGTGATTTTATAAAATAAAATGTTCAGAAACGTAAAGCTTAAATTGTATTTATTTTGTCCACCGTTTTTTGGTTATCACTTATCAGCCGTAATAATATTTCACTTAACAACATAATTATTCTATCATACCGCTAAGTACAATACTACATCCAGTGGTCACTCGGAGAAAA